AAGAGAGAAGATTTGTAAAAAATTAGTAACTTCACACATTTGTAAATAATAATAGACTATTTTATATATCAAAAATCTCTGTATGAATTTGCTAAGCGTTCAAAATCCCTTCGATATGATAGCAGATTTTTCACAACAAAAGTACATCATTTTAGGTATTGTTGATATCCGAGTTAGCCCAGCAGGGGGACCGGGTGAAAATGATCCTAAAAGCTGAGCGGACGGCTCGGTCGACTGTTCGAGTACCGAGCTGAGTCCCAAGCTAAAATGTCCATCCCGTCTCTGTGCATCTGTTCCCGAGCACGGCGTTTTGGCAGTCAAGCATGGGTGCCGACCTCAAAAAGGTAGCGGCCTGAAGTGAAGATCCTGGGGGCCGACGGAAGAAAAAGAGTCTGTTGGCCGACCTGGTACTTCAGGACGGCAATCCAAGGGGCAAGCGCGGAGCTCGATAGTGAAAGAGTCATGCCACTTGAAGGGTAATCATGGGTGACTAGACAAGACGCCATAGCCTGCCACTCTACAGCAGGTAGCCATGACATAAAGCCTGCCAGCATTAAATGCCCCCCATGTGTGCCTTAAATGCCTGACAGGCAATGATTGGGAAAACCTCAAATCACATTAATACCTGTCAGGGCAGCGCCGAACTGCTCCGCAGGAATACTGTGCGACAAGACCAGGAAACAGTGGCTGAACAGTACCATATTTAAAGACACTATAAATAGAGACCCACTTCATTTATTTTGGGTTGTTGAATCTCAGCTACTCAGACCTTCTCTCTAATTTCTCTCTAGATTCTTGTAATAAATTCCCGCAGTTATTCCAAAGTGTAAAAAAAGTACCGACCTCGAACACAGAGGCCGAACTCGTAATTATTCAACAAATATCCATTTGAACCGTATTCTCTCCTTATTTCCAGTTCTCCACTTTATGCAATTCTGATTTAACCGTTGATCGAATGTGCTCATCAACAGTTTGGCGCTAGAAGAAGGGCCCATAAGTTATTTAGTGCCAACTATTCGATCTTGTGGGACTCCACTCACGACCTCTCTTTTTCACACTGTTTGCCTCAAAACTCACGGAATGACTTCCTCAGAACATGATGAGTCAACCCAACAGTCCAAGGCTCATTCCCACTTTCACAACGGCGGGGAGACTAAATCAGCCGATCCCACCGGTCCCCACGTTTGCTACAGCGATGCAGCACCCCGACGTCCTCCATGTCCTTGAGGGTGCCTTTGCCAAGGCTTTAGCAACCCATACCATCGCCGCGAACATAGTGGTCGGCACGCAGAACCCAGCCAACACCCTACTCCGCACTCTCGGCAAGGATGCCGAGAAGACGAGAAAGGGGCCTGCCCGGTCCAAGACCACGGCACAGTCTCCTAACAAAGATGTCCAGAACCACCGGGAGTAAACAACTAACCCGGAGTATACTGAACAGACGGGTGAGAGCCGTCCCGAAGATAGCATACGGATCATTCGACGGTCCGTCTACCAA